GTGTTTGCGCCGTTATTCAACAACCAGTCGCCGCCGGGATAGAATCCTATCAGCACGAGCAGAATTGATAACTACGGGGCACTGATAATGAAACGTTTCAAAAACGGCCTGACTGGAAGCACACAACCGGTTGAACGCAGCGAAAGGAGTTTCATCATTTTACGGTCGCCTTAGTTATAAAGTAATCGGAGTTAATTTCCACCAGTTCGCCTGTGTATTTAACAAAGCAGCAATCATCAAAGCATATGTAGGGCAGATCAAGTGACCAACCTGCGCATTAATTCCAAGTCATACTCCACTTCATCCGCATACCATGCGGGCAGCGTGACCAAATTATCCACATTAAGCTCAATGACTTCTTTCGGAGTGGCAATCGCGATGCAACTATGGTTGACCTAGATGAAAGTGAATAAAGAATAAATGGATCAAAGTAGGGAAACCGACAATCAATTTTCTATTTATATTTATCACCGGCTTGCCAGCAAGCTTGGTGCCAACGCAACATCAATAAGAGTAATATAGGAATCCGACGTTGGGATAGTGAGAAGCAACCCCGGGAGTTGACAATAATTCACAGGACAAACGGAATGGTAAAACAGACGAACGTACACACACGGAAATCACCATGACCTTTCAGAACCTACGTTTTATCGGCAGTTTTGTTTTTAACGGGTGTCCGAAAGAGCACCAAAAACAACGAACGGAAAGACAAGGTTAACAATCCTACATTTAGAAACTAGCAGAAGCGCAGTGGAAACTGATAGGAAAATTTTGAAGCGAAATAATGTGGCACAGAACAAACTAAATTAGGCAGCAATATAGTCCGAAACAATCTGTTAGGGTATCCGGACTTGTGGACATGCAACATAAAAAGGAAAAAGTTAAAATGCACCTGAGGACCACGAAAGTTCAACACACTACCACTAGGGGTTCAATTAGTTCTGTGTGTGATGTGAAATGCTGCTTTTGAACAATTAAAAGCTTGATGGAACAGATCATTAGGAGATTGCATCAGCTCCCGAAAACAGTTTTGTGAAACTGCCTTTATCCAGGCAATTAAATTTACTGGAGTGACTGATCACATTAAAAGAACAAATCAGGCAAACTGTGGCAAATGATGCGCACATACGACGGCGGAAAGCAATGAACATAGACAGAGATTAGCTGATGTGAACACTTCCTTACCGAAAGACACTGACAATTAGAGATTGAAAGATACGAACAAGACGAAGTGAATAGGTTGTGAAATCAGACACGTAAGATGAGTTAGTGTAATATCAGTAGAAACCTGACACATACAAAACATGACACGGTTTAGAGGGGACAAATAGGTTTAGAATACACTCTAAGCCCAATTTGTTGCACACACACAGGGTGTTGAACCACGATGACGTCAACAAAGCTTTGTTTTGGGGTAACGATGACAAAATGTGAGGTGATTCTTCCCGAGAGATTGAGCGTTCAACAGTTATCGCTAGTTTTTATACATAGGTCAAAGAGAACGAAGTCTTTATTATTAGACAGAGCATGATAGTCTTTGCGGTATTTTGTCGCTGAATGAGGGTAACCAATTCTGAATTATCAGAGATATGAATCGAATCTTTTTGTTTCATCACTGCATGAAGCAACGGGGTGACGAATTTTTATTGACTATTCGCTTTAAATCGCGGCAGTGCATAACCGTCAGTCTAGTGACGTTAAGCTGCGTAGTGCATCGCTTATCCTGGATACTTGGACCGGAGAAGAAAATGTTAGTCTATTTTGCGATTGCAGTCAGGGTTGTTACTATTTACCTCCATGCTGTCATGCATTTCCAGGTAATGCTATTCATCTACTTCCTGCACATTCCAGTACAAAAAACTTTGCTTTCTTCAGTTTCGATCTTGTTCAACCGAGCAGCACAAGAGTCAGATTCTCGTTCTGTTTGGGATTAAGCAAGTCAGTGTATGAAGCACAGTAATGCAAATGAGGAGACCAATGACGAACAATGGGACGGTTTCGTTGCAGCGGACATGAATGAACCAAGAATAATGGTAGCCAGCTTGCGCATCATGTGCAAAAGAGCTTGTTATTTTTAAAGAGATCAACCACGATGTTCATTCATTAGACGGCGTCGCGCATGTGCACAAGCTGTAGCGTCATCGTGATTGATCCATACTTAGCAGGGCAAACGAAGGTGCAAACACATTGCTAGGAGTTCTGTTGAAAGTTAAAAGTGGGATAGAGCGATAATAAGGATCACTTATATGCAATTATAAGATGATCAACAAAGAGCACTAGACAGCTGCTTCGTTCCGTTTCGGACTCGTCATCAGTGTATACTTTTTGTGTTCCTGTCGGGAATCGAACAGCGAACCTTCGGATTGTGACTTCAAACCATCACCCCTGAGCTACATCAAGTGTCTGGTGCCTGTGAACAACCGAATGGGCTAACCCAAAGATGATAATCTAAATTATTTACCGTCTGGGAGTTTTCTAATGACGAATCAGATAAGGTGCAGCATTAAAAGGTGGTCTTGCTGACGGTTACCAGGATTATAAACCACAAATCTAACGGTGTCGGCTATAAAGATGCACACGGTTTGATATGAGAGCCAAGCTGACTACTGAAGTGTAACTCTTGGTCTGTTTATTACCTTAACCGAGGTTTACGTAGGCGAAATATCTCGACCGGAAGTAAAAACACCGCAGAGGGAATGGGCACGGTATAGTATCAAAAATAAGAAGTCAATGTGTCCGAAAAAATGACTCTCTTAGATGGCACACGGTATCCACACACGGAAACAGATGATTGGAGCACCTACCGTCTTCCGTTATCGATCATTTTTTCACTCATCACTATGTCTAAGTTACAAAACGAGCTAAAACCAGAGGCTGAAACTTTATTTCCAGAACACTCCTGCGCAAATGAATGATATGGACCGACTATGTAAGTCGAGCCTTATCGAAATGTCCTAATATGAAAGCGACAAATTGCAGCAGCAATTCGTGCAAAGTAAGCTGTCTAAAAGCTAATAACAAATGCCCCCCACCCCGAAACAAATGAACAGAAATCTATGCATGTAAAACGGAATCAAGCAATGTGGGGGATTCACATTAATTCGAAAAGACAGGAGAGTAACTCACAGACGAGCAAAACTGCTCATGGAATATACTCATTAAACAGGCAAACAAGACACTGGAACGCACACGGATGAGACAAAATATCGGCGAACATACAAAGACAGAACAACCTTTAGCAACCACAGGGTGAGACTAATTGGCAAGAAAAACAAGTAAACTGCCGGGAAAAGTTAAGATCGCATTTAATACAATACCAGGCAAAAAAAGCAAAAATGATAAGACGCCTCGAACGACGACTTGAGCCATTGAATTGCTAACCTCAAAATGAATCTCATCAGAAGCAGGCCGAACTTGAGACTGAGAAGCAGAGTAGAATTTACAGAGAAAATGACCAAGTACTGAAATCCCAAGGGGAAACAAAAATCAACTTAATCAGAAAGAAAGCACAGAATGATACTTGACAACTGTTGTGGTGGGTGAAAAAGCATTATTAACAAACAGGCATTATATGAAGTGGGATATGTATATATGAGAATAAGTTCAAGCTTTTCACATAAGAAACATTATTGTATTGAAAACAGCGCGTCGAATTGTTGTTAAATCCTAAGGGAGTGATGAAAAACAATGGGAATGCGAGCGATAATCACAAACACTTACTAGTTAGATTCGGAAAACAACAACTTAAGCCGTGAAATTCAGATTAGTGAGCTTTGACGATACGGGAGTGGAACCTAGTCATGCAACAGTACACCTGTTTACCTAAAAAAGGTGTTGACAAGGTACAGACTGAGGAATGCCAAGGAACACTTGCCCACCACCACTCTTGTAAACTTTTCAATCATTCCAATTATCCAACGACCCTGTTTACCCCAAGGTTGTATACAATCAGAAAGATCAACGAACCCGAACGGGAGAAATCAGTATAACGACGGTGACGAGTTGTCCTTGGACCATAACGGACCTACACGATTGGCGTTATGAACATTTCCGGCGAAACTCAGGGCTTTTGCAATTGATTTCAATTTGAAAATGGATAGATTGATCGTGGAGATATATTTGAAGGAATGGAAATCCGGGTATAGGACTATAAATATTATACTTCATAACTGACAACCCAGTTGTACAACGCTGTTTATACTCCGGGATAATTCACACATGTTTTTTTCATTACCGCGTGATTTATAAGATTTTATAATACACCACATCAAGAAACTTTTGTGAGCCTTTAGTAACGCGAGGACACACTAACAACTGAAGTTCGAATGCTATGAAAATTTCTAGTTCTACAGCAGGGGATACCTTGGATGACGATTATCAATTCTGTTTCAAGGACGTCATGGATACAAAACCTACCAGCCCGGTGAAAACAATTGCGATGATACAAGTTTCAGAAACCGAGCGTAAATCAAAGAATTTTACTCTCTGTAAACAACTTACAGTTGGATGAAAGAAATTATGGATTGGAGGTATATTACGCAGACTATTAAATAATGTCTATGAAGCATTTAAACGAACAGCATTGATAATAGTTACTAGCATATAGAGAGCAATCTGTAACCACGCGTGTGAGGGCAGTGAAAATTGCAGAAGGTTGTGTATTTAAACTGCGATGGACATGCATAGGCGAGGAAAGAAGAACGTGACTAACCTGATTAACACACATTGCGATTAACGGATCCTGTTCTTTATGCACCAGGCGGATGGCGTCGTCATATAACAGCGACTGTGATTTGCCGGGGGCGATAGCGCTTTGTTTATCAGTCGCTTGAAAACGTATGGCCCTACCGGTGGACATTTTGTGTGTTTCATCCTGAGCAACCCAAAACGAGATAGGAGTAATCAGATAGTGAATAAAATCACAGACATTAAATCACTAGGATTACAGTACCGTGATTTGTTCGGAATACTGTCTGGACCCATATATATATATATATATATATGTGTGTGTGTGTGTGTGTGTGTGTGTGTGTGTGTGTGTGTGTGTGTGAACGCGTGTACAGTTCCCAAAAACTAAACAACAATTCTCAAAGTGAGATGGAGCGACTGCGAAAATGAACCATCGCCTTTATAGATAACGGACAAGTAAAATAATTTAAGAACAAAAAATCACTCCACTACTAGAAATACATGAGACATATGATTGCATCAGCATCATCAAATAAGAGGGAGCGGTGAATGGAAATCATCATTCTTTATTGGAAATGGATAACGCTGATATCATAAACCGAATAAAACCAAGAAAAATGGAAACTGTAGCAACTGACTAAAATTTTTTTAGTTCAGCTTGATTGATGAGATAAACCTAATCGACTCAAACTATGTTTGCGTGAATGAAAAATGACACAAAAGGAATTAAAGACATAAATGATAAAACTTTCGTGTTTACGAAAAACGAACGATCCACCAACTACGTACCACCGCAGTACCGAGTGTTGGTAGGTTGGTCGCCGAAGTTCCATGCACTGATTTCGGGACCATCGATCCATAAGGTTCTGTCGCTTGTCGCACATCACCGATATCTGATGATGGATGCAAACCGCCATCCAAACCAGATTGATTTGGAATAATTAAGGACTGAATTGGACGTGGTTCTCGGAAGACGTGGCGGATGAACAAATCGTCCAAGTTTGGCTGACGAACCAAATAGCACCATAGGCGTTTTGTTGGTAATGAAAACGGATCTCGTGTTCTATGATTGCGAATAAGGATAAAGAAAGGATTGGGGAACAACAATGACACTAACAGGTTCACTTGGGATTCTACAGCAAAGCCGAAGTCAAAAACACAGTAGAAGCAGTTAACTGATATCGCAGTTGTGAATACTGTAACAGTAGAAAAGAATATACTGCATTTAAACACCTACAAAACCACTTGTGTGATCATTTTACGAACAGCCGAATGCAAATGAAATGGGTGATTTTAGGATGCCACCAATAACACTCGAAGATTTCAATGGATGAAGTTGATGTATTACGTACTGGAATGGAGTTTTGGATGGATCTATCAGCTGGCGAAGCCGAATCATGGCACGTGTGGCCCCAGCTGACGGAAGTTGAGATGCAGATCTCAATGCACCAGCTGGATCGGACCCCAGTTCTGTTCCTGAACCAGTGTTTATTGCAGCCAATTCCGAATCATTGGAGTCCGGAAGGAAGTTGGCCGGTGGTAGCAGATGCCAAGTGGGAATAAGATTCAAACTTCCCCTGGCAAGGTCACGTGAGGTCAGAGCAGGTGGAGAGGTCAATTCCAGGCGATAACCGACCATCCACGTATCGACCAATCGTGTGGCTGTGACTAACGCTGGTGCGTATACAGCCAAATCTAGCGATCATTCGGAAATAATAAAATACAGAACATGCGTTTCAATGTAGAAGAGGAACTGAAAGGTCAACTGAACGATGATAATGAGGAATGGACTATTTCTTATGGATAGGCAACAATTTACGCGTGCAAACATTCCGGTCCTACGTTGCTGTTGCTGAGTTCTCCGAGCTGAAAGTGTTGTTCGCAGACGTTTCGTAGTCACACTAGGCAACATCATCAGTGCGACTTCGGGGAAGAGCCAGTCCTTAGTGGGATCGAGCTCCTATAATTCTGTTTGAGGGTTTCGAAACCCTAGCTACAAAACGTCTGCTAGCAACACTTCCAGCTCGGAGAACTCATCAATACCATTATCCGCATCCCCAGCTACAATCAATCCACATCATTTCCATTCCGCTCCGATATCACGCTAAGTGCGCAAAGGCTATAGTCCAACGAGAAGAACATGTGAATGATAACAAGTAAAAATTTGTTCATCTGTGTTCATGCCTCATCGGAAACTGATTTGGTTATCAATCAGCTATTCCTGTTGCAAATCCACTTGTGGCCGAGAACAACCCCGGGGGGGAACTCACCATCTGACCCAAAGTCCAGTAGTTGAACCAAACGTTCCAGTTCCCGTTTGGCCAAGTGAATAATTCCAAGGCGCATCAGACGCCAGGCATAACTGTCACCTTTCGCCCATTGACGCTGAACTTCCCATTGACCGCCACGACCATTAAGTGCCCCGACTGATTGCTTGAAATCACCCTGGCAGTCAGGGTCGTCACTCCCAGAAAGGTCGTCGTCGCTAGCGCATCCAGGCCCGGATAAACTCATCCAATCATTTAAATCCACGCTAGTAGCGTGAAACTGTGATTCACCAAAGTCAGAGTCTAGATGCAGCCGGCGTAAGATCCAGCGTCGAGGCAACCTGATTGCAATCGCGGTAGATTTAACCGCACTCAATTCTGCCTGTAATCGTCCTTTTTCCACCAATTCTGGGTAAAGTTCTTCAACAGATGGAACGGTTCCACCCGTTTTTTCATCTTCATCATCACTTTGATTCAACACGCCCGTGTGACGTGCCAGGCGGCGCCTAAGTGCTTCTTTTGCACGCCGCTGTGCTTCACGCTTAGCTCCAGCAGCATGACTGCGTTCCATTCGACGCGCTAATCGCCGAATTCGACGCTGTTGTTTTGCAAGTGCCTCTGAATAGCTATCATAGCTGTTATCCGGAGGTTCTGAATCGTCTGAATCGAAAACGCAACTTGGGTCATTGGGAAGTGTCTCCTGTTTTGGTGGCTGTAAACCATGGAAAAAAAATAGCGGATAAACAAGGAAAAGAAAAACGTATACGTTTTACATACGTATATAGATCATACAGCAAACACAAAAAGTACGTGAAGTAAAAAAATAGAAACTTTTGTTGCTATGCACTGAAGAAGTACATTCGCAAGATGAAAGAATGGTAAAACACAAAAATGATATTGATTGATACAATTACATTTTAAAATGAGTATTGCGCAACAAAACTGAGTGGTAGGTCACCTCCACCAAATACAACTGAGGCAAGTGACCTTTGCTCAAAATAAACAACGGTGAGAATGAAAAGTAGACGTGGACGGTACTGAGTAGTTTATTCACCTTATTTTAACGAGGCAGTGGGCATTGTGCGCACATGAAGCTAATTGTGTAACGGCCATGATGAAAAATACCGATAGCATTACGCGTCAACGCTTTTGATTTCGCTGCAACTGGTTTGTCTTGTGCCAAGAGTATCAACGTTCGAATCCTATCACGGTCACCCGACTTTAGTGGTGGGCAATTCTTTTGACTAAGGAGTGAATCTTCCCTACCGTTCATCACATTCATGGAACCGGAAGAACGCCGTGATGGACTCGAATCGACCACATCGCCATCAGCCACCGCTGGCGAGGATCCATGGAAAACTGCCGCTGTTACTGGTCAACACCCGTGGACGCGGACCACGCTTTATTGCGACCAGATTCTTCGTATTTCTCGTAAAGAACCGTAGGAAAACCAGCGGAAACGGAGGTCCACAATACAATGTCAGCGGTATTTATGAATCAGCATTCGAAACGGAACTGTTCGATCGCGCCTAAATCCCTTAAACACCAGTTCATCAAGGGCCTGGGGAATGAACGTGAGAAGTGGAGAGTAAGAAAGTGAAGAGAGNATTAGGAATACGGGTCCAAGGAAAGAAGGCGTAGCTGAGTCTTATGGTACAGTGATTCACAGTCAGCAACGCCGTCTTGAACGATGTGTGGGACACTTCGAGGCTCAGTTCAATTGACTCCCATTGACATCAGACCTGCCCATCCCTAAAGGAAGTTTAATCAGCATTATTTCTGAGCTTCTCACTAGAATTATACTCCGTCGATTATGTGCAGGTGAGAATAAGGCGAGTTTGATATCTGGTCAAGGGTGTATAGACCACATCTTCACTCTTCGCCAAATCTCAGAATACTGACACTCTTTTTTGTCTCCCTCGATCTGAAAGTGACTTTTGAGTCAGTCGACCGTTGTAAACTCTGGCGCTACCCGAGAAGTTTATTCTCATTTTGCGATCTCTTTATTCTATTGGCCGAAGCCGAGTCGAAGGCTACAACACTTTATCGATAGAGTTTACCACAGAAAGTGCTGTTCGTCAAACGCCCTCTCTCTCCCTTTTTAATGCGATTATGGAAACAGCCCCGTCCTCGTGTGAATAGAGTTGTATGGAGTTTCTTCCGAGTGGCAAACTGTCTGATAAAGATCATACAGACGACATTTTGCTGCTTAGTGGAGATTCAGGTAAGTTGCAAAGTTTTCTGGATAGTTTGATTTCCTAGCGTAGCCGTGTTCGGTATGCGTTTTGTACCATCAACGTGTAAAATCTTGCTCCAGGACTGGATTGGCTCAGTTAACAACCTCACTGTAATAGGAGAAGACAGAAACTTCATCCGGCAGGGACATCCCCGATTAAGTGTTGGCACGCATACAGAATGGTCGATTGGCATTTGCCAACTGGAGACACCTCCATAGCGCGGTCGTGACATCCAGTTGTATGTGAAGGGTCGAGTGCATGTTGCAACAGGTGGACTAGTTCTACTATACGGCGCAGGAAGTTGACCATTACAAAAACAAAATAAATATAGACAGTCAGTTTTCGAAAACCGCGGTCTATGTCGCATCGCACGAGTCTAGTGAGAATACCGGACTAGTAAAGCTGAATTTAGAGGCTGAGTTCTAGGTAATCCTAGTAATCCAATGGAATGGGTGGTCGACCTCCAAAGATTGCCTTGTTTGGTGCATGCGCTGCGCAGGTATTGCGTGGAAAAAGATCAAGGGTGATCAAACTCAGGCCTGGTGTTAAGTTTTGAAAAGTCCGACTAGGAGACTTGCTCACATAGGACTCATTAAGCTTGGGATCATTGTAACCGGTGGTTATAGACACTGCGTGATATGACTGAGTGTCAGAAACAGTGGCGCTCGTGCATCTGCTCATTATCCCTACAACCTTAGTCAACGTGAATTCTATATCTTCTCTTTGATTTTGGTCGCAACATTCCATTCCTCCTGCTCTTTTATCCAAATGAGCAGACATGAAACAGCAACCGAAACCAGAACACGAGCATGAGCAATAACTTTGAGGACTTCCCTTAGATTTATATTTATGGTTAACTTTCCGATTTGAAATTGCTCAGGAAGGTTTTCACAACTCACTCGTTCTAATAAGCAGCTAAATATTGAACAGCGAGGCGGTACGAACCATTCATCTGGCGGAGATGGTG